TTTTTGTTCCCCCTTTCCCCCCTCCCCTCTCTCCGCAGCCTCCCTCCCTCCCTCCCTCCCTCTCGCTCGTTCGCTCGCTGCCCGCACCTCGGTGTGTGCCGTGCTGCGGGCGCGGGGCGCGGCGGGAGCGGAGCCGACGCGGTGCCTGCGCCCTCCCCCGGTCCCCCCCGCCCCGGCGGCGGCTTCGCAGTGCGCAGAGGCCCGGCCCGGCCCGGCCCCGGCCCCGTCACGTGGGCGTCTAGACACCGTGTCGCTCCGGGGAGAAAAAAAAAAATAAATATATCTATATATTATATTTATCTCCAACCGCCCTTTTGCGCAAGAGGCGGCTTCGGGTTGCGGGGAGGTTGTGGGTCCGTGACACCCCCCCCACTCCTGTCCACCTTCATCCCTGCCCCTGGATGGGGGTGCGGAGATGTTGGAGGGGGTGTATGTGTGTTCCCCCCACCCCACCCCAACCCCGCACCCAGTGGGGAGCCCCCGGGGCTGGAGGGGTGCCCGTGCTCAGTCTTTAAGTATTGCAATATTAAACCAAATCAACCTTAAAAAAAAATTAAAAATATTGATATGGTTCTGCGTGTCGAATAAGGGCACGGCACAAAAAGTAGTAGTAATAATAATAATAATAGTAATAGTAATTTGTATTTTCGCAGCACCTGTCACCAAAGGACGGGAAAATATCCCGTGGGGGCTCGTTACACCCCGATTCTCACCGAACGCAAAGCAAAACTGATGAGCACGCGGCGCTCTGATATTCTACTACTAGTGGTAACAATCCCTGGCACCCTGAGTGCTCCACAGATCCCCCATTCCAATTCTGGACCTGCAGAGGGCTGGGAAACTGAGCCACCAAGAGGCTGCGCTCTTGGGCCAGCCCCGCGGCGCTCTGTGGCCGAGCTGGGAAGTCCGGCCAGACTTCCTAGCGCCAGGCTTGGCAGGGCAGGAGAACTCCCCAGGGGTCCCCATCCCGCACGCACTCCCACGGAGGAGTAGCTCCTTTTTCACAGAATGACTGCGGGCGGATAAGTTGCTTTAAGGTCACTAAGTCAGTTATCGCGTCGGAAGGAAGAGCCAAGGCTCTTAAATCACGGCTGCTACAAGCAAACACAGTTCAAATCCAAACCTGAAACGAATGGACCCAACTAAGCACCACACCAGCCATAAACCACACAAAACAGGGGATGACCTGTGCCGTGCAGGCAGGGCATCCCCGGGGGTGCTTGTCCTGGACCCCTGCCTTTGGTGTAGGCAGGAGGGCAGGGATAATTTTAGAGCTCAGTTGTACAAATATTCACGTGAGTTGGTTAGGGATGCTCCAAACAGGCCTGGTATTTGCAGAACGTGGATCTAAATTAGGGGCTAGTTTTGGAAGCAGCCCGGTCAAATCTTAGCGAGACTAAACCCACCCAGGCACAAATCTGCTCAACAATGATAAATAGTAGGGAAAAAATTGAGGAGGGGAAGAACATTATTTTCTTGCATCAGAAAGGACAGTTTAGGAAGGCTTGCTATACAGCTGGAGTCTGAGGAAGCGAGTGGACTCCTCACTGCACCTCCAAATAATTAAAGGCAAAAGTAAAAGATGCTCATTAAGCAGCTCCTTGAATACTGGGGTAGCTGATGCTGTAGCCAAGGTGGAGTAAGAGCGGGATTGAGCTGTGGGGAGCCCAGGGCACAGCCCTCCGGCCTCAGGGTGACAGCAGGGACCAAATCGGTACAGCATCAGTGTCTGGGTCTGCTGCATGTGCAAAAAAAAAAAAAAAAATCCCATTAACTTGTAGGCCGTTCT